TGAGGTTTGAAATCTTTCTGGGTTTTTGTTTCATAAATGTGTCTCAGAAAATCGTCCAAGAAACAAGAGTAGGGGATCCCGTTTTGGATCTACCAGGAAGGCTTTTGCTTTATTTGAATGAAGCGCAGGACATGTGAGAGCGTACCGTACAGCACCTGCCTTTCTTCTCCTCTTCTTGGGAATTCAGTTTGTTCTTTCCAGCCAGTTTGAGTTTCAAAAATCTCTTTTTATTGGAAGTCTTTCATTTCGTAATTACTCCTTTCCGAATGTACGAGATAATCTTCAGATAACGATTTTTTGACTCGATTTTTCAGCCTTATTGGAGGACCGGACGCCGAGCCTGGAAACAGAGCACTTCGCAAGAATCAGAGTGTAAGATTTCCGCTGTCTCCATAGTATCTGCCTGGCTGTTCAGGTCATGGACCGATTTTTTCGCTCTGCATATGTTGATGAAGACACTCGAGAGCTCTTCATAAGTCATGTAAGCTTGTGTCATGTAGACGCTGGGTGTCGTTACTCTCTGGAAACCCGTTTCATATTTTTTTCAGGATAATGCCTCAAGGCATCTCGCCAACCGGATCGATCTTCTTATGAGGGATGGGATCCGCTGTTTTGATGACGTTTGTCGGTACCGGCTCATTGGATATTCGTCTAGTCAGATGAACACGTCAAGTGCATGGTTTTTTCCGCGACGACGATAACGGATGGACTATCGGGCAGATTGTCAACTCCTTTGGCGACTTTTCCAAATGCGAGGGTGAGGCAACCAACCATAACTGTCTTCGAATTCGACTTCGTTTTCCTGAATTTGATTTCTTTGATCCTCTTCGAGTGTGTTTTCACTTATGCGTCTATTTTAGGAATTGGGAAGGTCGCGGCGAGATTGGGTTGAGAAGGAATTATCAGCTGGAAGTTGGTATCCTAGTTGCAGCGGAGGGTCCACTCCTGCTGCTAAGGTGACTAGTTTGACTGGTGTGATTGGTTGGTTGTAGGTCAATGGTTCAGCACCACGCAGCATGTCATCGAGCTGAATCCGGAACAGTTCGGCGACATCGACGACGAAGAGGCCCCCATCGATGACAATCGCCCTGAGTCTGGATCCTTTATATTCACAGACGGTGTTGGCTTTTGTGATCGAGACATTATGGAAACTGTCCGAACGACACTCGACTTGAAATTCCTGCCTCACGCCATCCAAGTAATTCCAACATTGTGATGATGATACTCGTTATTCCTCTCCTCTCAGATCCGATTCCAAGGTACCATTTGTGCGATGGAGAAGGTGCAAGGGAATTTTGTGTGTTTGCTCCTCGTTCAGGGTACAAAGGCGTTATTTCGTTGAACGAACAGTGGTTCATTGATGAGAATCCGTATCCTCCGTGCCCAGCAAACCGCCCAAAAATCACAGTTAAAGGTGATTTTCCGGAAGTCCATGCGGAAGTTTCCTGCAGGTGATTTTGTCTTGAGTGATGGGTTCGATCTTCTTTTTGTTTGCAGATGATTTGTCCTTCGAAATTATCGATTTTAGTAAATTCACGCCCCTACTTTCTCAACAGACAAGTAGGCAAACGCGACCTTCCAACTTGCTCTTATATTCATTGATCCTTCAGATTATCACAATTCTTGACACGATTGGTGTCGGTGAAGTCCCCATTATCAATCTTCAGGATGATATGATTCAAGCAGCACTCCGCTGTGATGAAAGTGTCGGTGAGTTCTTTCTCGAATGATGATTAATCTTCATCTCTACAGAGCCAATATTTTAATCTCTTTAGTCTGTCCCCAATATTTTAATCTCTGAATGTTTTTTTATCTCTGTAGACCGTGCCCAATATTTCCTTGCATCAAGTGGTTGCAAGCTTGACGCAATGAAATCAATTGATCGAATGTTGGACGCAGGAATTCCCCTCACAGATCCCTATGTCTCAAGTTTTCTTAACACTTGCAGAATCTTTGCGCTGCAATCCCTTCAGTCGAAGTCCAGGATTATTGTTCGGGTGCGTCTTCTGAAATCCCGTCTAACCGCTGGAGCTGGCGCCAAGGAGGTCGACGGGTTCTTCATGCGATGTGCAGCTGCTTGTTGTTTTTCCGACATTCAGGAAGGAGCAAATCTCTACGGCATATCAGATGAAACACGAACACTGAAGTACGACAACGGGCGTGGTATGCCCGAAATTTTTGTAAGAGTAACGATGAAGTCTTCGAATCGGTTTTTCACAACAATGAGAGAGAAAAGAAGCCAGAAATGGAGGCTCTCAGGGAACACCTACAAATTGACTGTAACAGGGCCTGTCTTCGTTACAAAGTGCCCGGTTGTACATCCAGGCGACATTCAGATGTTCTACGCAGTGAGTTCGAAGATTTCCTGCTTTCGCATTCTCATGGCACTCTTCAATTTCTACTTTTGCAACATGTTTTGGTTTTCAGGTTGATTACCCGGAACTTCAGTATGAAGATGTCATTGTATTCCCCCAAGTAGGAAGCTTCCGTTGCGATAAAATGTTTTTCCCTTGCGATAAAAAGTTTTTCCCTTGCGATAAAAAGTTTTTCCTTCTGATCCATTCGGCTTCTATTGTCTTCGTCTAGAAGCGCGAGGGAACGTGTCACCCGTTTCATCCAGGATTCCATGAAATCCCTCAACAAGCGGGAGCTTGGGAGCAAACAAAGATGTACTTCGGGCGCCGCGATTGTGCGAACATGCTGAGCGGATCCGATCTGGACGGTAAGGATTGTTGAACTGATTGCAATTGAGGACGACAATGATCTGTTTTTTTTTCAGGAGATCAATACCATGTGTGCTGGGATCCTACTCTTGTTGAACCCCTACTCCAGATTTTCGAGAAGGGACAGTTTCCAAAGCCCGCCCTTCATTACATCCCATTCAAGGGCCCCGTCAAGCCACCCCGAACGTTCCTCTACTGGAGCTCCTGAGGGTGGGTGTTGCACTTCTAACTCGTGTTTCTCATCGATATCGTGACTTCTTTTCAGATCAACTTTGTTGAAATTCTGCTTCACAACAATATGCGAATTATCGCCGCTAACCACGAACGAGTAGTTCACAGTCGTCATATCTATGAAAATGGGAAGGTTAGTGTTTCCTAACCGACCGGATTATCTTTGGTAGTTCCTAAACCGGTCCCAAAATTCTTCCTGTTTTGGGACAGGCCAGCCACCCTGACGCTCTCGAATTAGCAAGGCTGCATAGTTTGGCAGGTAACTTCTTTTTATTATCAGTGTCCCGTTCTTGCACCAATTGCTGCTATAGAATAATTCTATTTTTGTGTGATCAGTTGATTTTTCAAAATCGAGAGAACCGGCAATCCTCCCCAACGAGCTTCGGAGCAGACGGTTCCCACACTTTAAGGTTCCCATCCCAGTACGCCATCGATTTGTTCTACTGAATAAACTTCTACAATTTGAGCCAAAATTTAACGAGTGTCTGCTTCTTGTAGGCTCCTGGTGTAATGCAGCGAATTTTCAAATCAAAATCGGTTAATGGGAAACTGTTTGATGAAGTCCAAAAGGCTGAAACAGCCATAGCAGAGCGCTCAGGTACAACACTGCTCCGGCTCTCGGCTTCCGGCTTCATTTCGTTTTCAGGACGGGTTATTACTGTATTGCTGCGATACGTCGGGCCGAGCAACTCAAGCACAAAACCGTGAGAATGCTTGAGTGTTTCTCACTGGGGAGGGGAGATTGGAAGAGCTGACTGGTTTTTATCTAATAGCTCACAGATCTGCCATCTTATCGTTACAATGGACCGCCTAGTGTCTGATTATCACCCTGAGATTGTTTCCATCAGGATGGGCGTTCGATGATGGAAAGAGAAAAGGGTATTTGGTACAGATGAGATGGAATGTAGTAAGTGTCCCTTCGCCACGATGAATCTTTGAACTCTCCTTTCTATTCAGCCGCTTGGGATTCGCCAATCACCTTGCGAAGGTGTCCGACTCCATCAGATTCGGGTGGAGAGAGCCAATGGGGTTCAAACCCTAGAGCGTAAAGATTACGATTATCCAATCAAAACCCAACGAAGCTGATATCTTCATTCCTGATTGGGGTGATGAAGAGTCGGTGAATGACAGGCACCGACGAGACCCCAGTGGAATTATGAACTCGATGGGCTATCACACACAAAAACGCTATTTCGTCTTCAAGGTGTCTGTACGTCTTCAAACACTTTGACGCGTTTTTCGATCTGATTTCTTGCGTTCCAGGCGAGGCGACCGTTAGGAGAAGTTTCCAATGAGTCTCCAGTAAGTGCCGTTTTGGAGCTTGGAGGAGGGACTGGAAGGCTGTTGGCTAATCATGGTGCAAGACGGTATGGACCAGCTGGACTCTCCCATCAGGCTGATCAACGAAGGAAACGGTGAGACCCACGGACTTTTGCTGCTCATGTTAAGAACCGGGTCATGGTTCGTGCGCATACCCTTATTTGAAATAGTTTCGTTCACGTTCCCTGTCCCTTGTTCTGAAGGTATGCTCCTGGATATGTCGGGCCCCACTGGTGCCTGTTCCCGTTTCGGGACAAAACGGGACAGCGAAGACCGGATGCAGATCTCCACCTTCCGCGAGAGTTTCAATTTTTGGAGCGTTCGAATGCTTCTGAAAACGGCATCTGCCTTGAACTGGTACACAAGGATTTCCTGTCTAACGTTGGCCGAGGCGGAAAAACTGTATAAAATATACTTGAGTGAGGTTAGTCCGTAGGGTCTCATTGTTTGAAACTAAGTGTCCGGTTGTGCAGCTCACTCAAATTATGAACGAATATGGTAAGATCTAATTCACATCCGGACGTTTAAAATGTAATGCTTCTCTGACAGCACAGTACGATGAAGGAGAGGTAATGTCTGGATGCCTCGTCAAAGAAAACACGATGAAAGTGCGTCGTGACCAGCGTGACAAGGGTAACGACAATTAGGAAAATGTTAAGAAGTCACGACGACTGTGAAGGTTGTGCTCTAGTTTGATTACGGTGCTACCTGTGGTCTCATACAGTCCTATCGTGCAGCTTGAAATTGCGGTTCGAGATCTGAAGCCGAGTATGCAGTTGCGCATTGAGACTCTGGTGATGGACCAAGAGATTTGGGGTCCAATCCACGCCCTTGCTTCCGCCTGCTACTTGGTGGCTCATAGGGAGCGATTGAAGGCAAATGCTGAGATTCTTGCAAAGGACGAAGCGCGTGATCGGGTACGTGTTCCATTTCCACTTCCTTTTCATTGTCGTCTTGACGCTTCTGTTGTTTGCGGACAGGATCGCAAGCTCCGGGACTCGGATAGTGTGTGCTCAGAAGATGATGAACCTCAACCCGTTCTGAAATACTCGCTGAGCTTTGCTTGGCATTTATTCACTGATGAGCTTCTAGAACTAAAAAAGGAAGCGAATAGATGTACTGATGATTACGACAGAGGCATATGCTAGGCTTCACTGCTAAAAGCTATAAAATTGTTTTTCTGTTCTTCATGCGAATTTTCTCGTCATGTCCGAATCAAAACCTGAGGAGTTCTCTTTGCATGGAGAGTTCTGCCGTATGCTTTCTAAAGCCGGAATTCTTGTTAAGAGGCTAGGAAACGCAATATCCTGTCGGACAGTTGCCCCTCTACATAGTATAAAAATTTTCGTCAGCTAATTTGATCCATCAAGAATTCAACACATACGCAAGATCGACCGGAAGTGAGACAAACAGGAAACAGCGCAATAACGAGTCCATAGTACAGCTGCTGTTCATATTTTTGAACGTTTGATGTTGTTTTTTTGCGTTTTGGCGCAACAATTTCGACAAAAAGTGCAAAAAAGCGGTAAAAAGAAGGGACTTTTTATGCTTCACTTGTTAGTCATCACCTAAATCGTGAAACATTTAATCGACTTCTTCAACAGTTTGGACCGTTGGTTGGTTGCGCATGAGCGCCACCACCCCATTCCTTCAGCGCCAGCATACCATCAGCACCTGCGGCCTGATACGCCTTCATCATGATCGGGTTGCAGACAGCCTCCAACTCCTTCATTTTAGCATCAAATTCTGGCTTCTCGGCCAACTGGTTACGTTCCAACCAATCAAGGGATTCCTTGATAGCTACTTCAGCCTTCTCCCTGTCACCTGCATCTATGACGGTTTTCATTTTCTCCTCATCGAGGGTCGATCTCATTGAGAAGCAATAGTTCTCGAGGGCGTTCTTCGAGTCGATACGTTCCTTCTGTGCTTCGTCTTCAGCTTTGTATTTCTCTGCTTCAGCAACCATACGATCGATTTCATTTTGCGACAATCTGCCTTTCTCGTTGGTGATTGTGATCTTGCTCGATTGTCCTGTCTTTTTCTCTACAGCGTTGACATTCAGGATACCGTTGGCATCAATATCGAAAGTGACATCGATTTGTGGCACGTTACGAGGAGCTGAAAGAGACAACGAGATATATGCGACGCCCCACAGTGAAATTAAATTCTATTCATTTCATGCTGAAGTGATATAACAATAGATTCTAATATTGCTTGGAAGTCTTACCAGGAGGGATTCCATTCAGGTTAAACTTCCCGAGCAGGTTGTTGTCCTTGTGAATTGACGCTCGCCCCTCGAAGACTTGAATAAGCACAGATGTTTTGGTTATCGGAGTATGTTGTGAATGTTTGGGACTTCTTGGTTGGAATGGTTTGGTTTACGGGGGATGAGGACAGTCATCACACCACCAGCTGTTTCGAGTCCAAGAGAAAGTGGAGCGACGTCCAACAACAGGAGATCTTGAACAGCGGATGAGGTTTCTCCAGAAAGAATTGCAGCCTGGACGGCAGCACCGTAGGCAACAGCCTCGTCTGGATTGATTGACTTGCAGGGCTCCTTGCCGTTGAAGAACTCAGTGATGAGTTGTTGGATTCTTGGAATTCGAGTGGATCCACCAACAAGAACGACTTCATGAACTGAGCGCTTATCGACTTTACCATCACGAAGAACACTTTCTACGGGACTGATGCAACCACGGAAGTAGTCCATGCAAAGCTCCTCAAAAGCGGGCACGTGAAAGAGTGGCACTGTAGTCAATTCCTTCGTACAGGGAGTCGATTTCAATGGTTGCTTGTGTTGACGAGGACAATGTTCGCTTGGCACGTTCGCATTGAGTACGAAGACGACGGAGTGCCCGATGGTTTCCGGCGATGTCTTTGCCACGATTTTTGCGCTTGAAGTCTTGGACGCAGAAATCGACAAGTCTGTTGTCGAAATCTTCACCTCCCAAATGCGTGTCACCTGCTGTTGCCTTGACTTCGAAGATTCCATCTTCAATGTTCAAGAGAGAGACATCGAATGTACCTCCTCCAAGATCGAAAATGAGAACATTCTTTTCGCCTTCAGTTTTCTTGTCAAGGCCGTAAGCAATGGCGGCGGCAGTAGGTTCGTTGATAATGCGCATCACGTTCATGCCAGCGATGGTTCCGGCGTCCTTTGTCGCTTGACGTTGAGAATCGTTGAAATATGCAGGAACCGTGATAACTGCGTTCTTAACGGACTTTCCCAAATACGACTCTGCAATTTCGCGCATCTTCTGCAGGACCATGGCGGAGATTTCCTCAGGATGGAAGGATTTCGTCTCGCCGTTAACGGAAACTTCGATCAAAGGCTTGTCGCCTTCGCCCGATCTCACTTTGAAGGGCCAGTGCTTCATGTCTGATTGCACGGCGGCTTCATTGAACTTTCGGCCGATCAGCCGTTTCGCATCAAAGACAGTGTTCTCAGGGTTTCTTGCGACCTGATTTTTTGCGGCGTCGCCGATTAAACGCTCGGTGTCCGTGAACGCGACGTAACTTGGAGTCGTTCTATTTCCCTGGTCGTTCGCAATAATTTCGACCTAAAAACAAGAATGTTGTCAAATCAAGCAACAGAAAAAATGGACCTACTGTGTCATTTTTCCACACGCCGACACAAGAGTAGGTTGTGCCGAGATCGATGCCGATGGCTGGACCGTCAGACATTTTGATTAATTGATGTTGAAGAAGAAGAAAGGTAGATTAACAAAACTTGATGTTATTAGATGTTTGATGCTATGTGGTTCGCTGATGCACTTATTTCTGTGTGATGCGTGACTGGGACCCCGGGACACATGCACATCTTCGGGACAGGGATCAGAGTCCGTGCCTTATCTGTGGCTTTTCAGAGTCCATACCGATCATGATTCCAGTCACAAAAAACAGTGTGAATATTGGTACTTGACTTCAGTCACAAAAAAGTGTGAAACACTTCCCAAAAAGAATCAGATGAATCAATCATTACTCGAACAACACGGCAAGTATATCTGATGAACTTTGGATTTTGATGCTCCATCTGGGAAAAATTTAGTTGTAATTTCACGATCTAGACATCCACAACAATTGAGTGGCGCACACAAACCATCAGGGGCGTTGCAGCATTGAAACACGTTGAGATAGCCACAACATCCCTGACGTTGACGCTTCATCAATATGCGTTTTCTTGTTCGAAAAACTGGGATGTGAATCACTTGGGACTCCATCAGGTTGGCAGTACCAAGAGGGACATTGTCGGCGTCATCGGGGTAACCGAAATGAGGCTCACTGTTATGGCCGGATTCAGACAGGAGCAACCCGCGCGATTGCGTCACTCCTACAGGAATGTTGTTCAATGCTGATCCTGAGAGAGGCGAAGGAGTGAAAGAACGAGGTGGTGCTCCAGAGACGAAACGGGAAGCTCCACCCTGGGGATAAGGATGACCTCCAACTCGTGCATACGGTTGAGGGTAAGAAGGATGACTTCTGTTGAGGTAAGGACTGCTGTTAAGGTATGGATGTGCATACTGCTGAGGAAACTGAGGGTAAGCATGCTGGATTGAAGAATATTGTGGGAGGGCTGGATGTAAAGGGACGGGTGCGTGCTGACGAGCGGGATATCCCCCTATGGCGGGAGGGACTTGAGCAGCGTTAATTGCAGGAATTGGTAGCGTTGGTGTAGGACGATTCACTTGAGAAGCTGGATTTTTCTTTTCGGTCTTTAAAGCACTTGTCAAGTCTTCGTGTGTTCGACGCGAGAGACTGCGTCTTGATGAAGAAGGCGTTTTTGGTTTATCAACTTTAATAGAAGCGTGAGATTCTTGCTTCCTCGGCCGTGGACTCAGTTCTGAGTCTCTGCGTTTCTCCGTCAGCTCGGAGTTGCGTCTTTCAGCGCTTGAAGGGACGTAAGGTTGGTGGTGGCGATGCGTATCATGAGACGAAGAACTGCTGTGAGACATTTGAACAAGAACTAGGCGGTCGACGTCGATCGTTTGAGCTTCTTTTCTCCGATATGAATCACGAACGTCTTCATCATTTCGTGACACCCGTCGTCCATCAGCAATAATCCCTGAATGTTTTCTTCCATGTTCCCCATCATCTGATGAAAGAATTCCGTAATCAGCCAAACGGCGATTTAACCTGTCGTTGCTGTCCGAATCTGAAAACGCCATTCTGCAGTTAGTCGCACTTCACACAGTTCGCCTTCTGAAATTACATGTCGTTCATGGCGCCTTATATTTAGCGGGAACAGCAACAACAGATGCGTTCACAGGCTCGCAATAATATTGTCCGTTGTGGTTGTGTTGTCAATGTTCTATTTGTCCGAAGTCTTCAGGACAACGAGGAGTTACTCTTTGACGTGAATTGCAAGGCAACATCCGTGGAATCGTTTGCAAGGCACTCTCTGGGAGGGGCCCTTGCCTTTAACTGGCGTCGCGCTGGGGGCGAAGCATTCTTAAAATGTGATGCATCTTTGTTGGAATGTCCACAGACTTCTCCGGATTTATGCGGAGTATACGAAGACTTCCTTGAAGCCAACAAGTCCCGGAAGCGCAAAACGAGAAAGCGGAGAAGGCGCAAAATTCTCAGACATAGACATAAATATGGCGGACGACACCGGAAACGCAAGTTCGGGGGCCTCGACCCAACGATCCTTGCCTTGTTACAACTGCGACAGGCAAACCCGTCACAATCGGATGCTGGATCTGCAGTGCCAACACGATGGACTGATACCACCGTTCTTCAAGGATCGAACACAGGAGTCGTATCCAACAATTCTCAATCTGGAGTAACAGCAGCCAAGGGATCCAACAATTCTCGATCGGGAGCAAAGGAGTCACGAATAGACAGCGCAAACGCCAAAGTGAGTCTCTGTGCAATCGCTGTACTCTATCCGAGTCTTTCAGTGGGGAATAGGCAAATGGTCACCTAAAGAGCCAGAAGGATTTCATGATTACGTTTTCAGACATAAAAAAGTTCTCGGATTCTTTGGTTCAGGTAACCAGGCATAGTTTATAGACTACGATGGTATCTGATGATCTTCGATCCCCTAACTTTCGTTCTTAATTAATGAAAACATCAGCTGTTGCTTAGAGTCCATCTGATGTTTCAGATTATTCTCCTGCGTTCACAATCGTTGCAAATTCCCTCCAGTTTGCCAAGCTCTTGTCCAAGTGTTCTTGTGAAGCTTGTGAAAGTCTTCGAGTGGCGGTCGCTAAGATCCTCGAGATTCATTCTGCGAACGTAGAAGAAGAGGTTCCTGTTAGTGGCGACTGGAAACCAGCGTTCAACTTCAGTCAAGATGAAGCCCACGTTCCTCAACTTCTCCGTTCAAATTCCTGTCTCGAAGCTCTAAGTGCATTTTTCAAGATCGAACACGAGAGCAATGTCGACGCCCCGCGATCACTTATCTTTTCCAAAGAGTCTCTCTGCGTCAGCTGTAACACGGATCTGCCATCCACCCAAGGTATGTGGACATCTCGTACTAAGCTGGATTACTGAGACAAAAGTTGTCATCAGTAGTATGCAGATTGAAAGTTAAACATTTTTGTACCTTGTTTCTTTCAGACGCGACTACTACCGTTAATGAAAAGCTTCAACTGTGTGCTGGATGCAAAGCGAAGCCTTCAGCCTCTGATAATTGGCTGTTGATTAAGACGCCAAAAGGTCTATCTCCTGGGTTTTTTGAAAGTCCAACAGACCTCTCCCTGTCTTGGGGAGGAATGCCATTTGCTGCATCGGCGATTGTCGTCAAAAATGTGAGCATTTTCTTCACGACCTCTATTTTCATTCTCCATCTTCTGTTACAGTCTAATGGAACCGAGCGCGTCTATCTCCGTCTCCTTCCTCATGGTGACAATAAATGGTGCCTACGAGAAAATGGAGCCAACAAGTATGTGGGATCGAATGACATCAATGAAATCATTCGTGATGACGGTTCCACGGTAACGGGTGTTTTCATGGAGCTCGAGAAGGAACAAAAAACAAGACGGATTCGATTTAGTAATCCTCTGACTTCCATATGGGGTTGAGGAAGGCTTGATACATGTTGTTGTTGATGTTCTTGTCGTTGTTGTTGTAGCATGATCATCGCTCCCGTTGTGTAGCATCATCGCTTCCCTTTGACTGCTGTTGGTGGTTGAGGAACGATCCAAACATAATCTATCATCAAGGCGGTGGTCCTTTCTGATTTTTTTTAGTGATTTTTGTTATTTTATGTACAGGAAAACAGAAGGCCTTCGTTTGATGGAACACGTCTGATCATGAATGTCTCAGTGACGCGTGTCTTGGGGTTCTCCAGCTTGCCCAAAACTCGCGAGTGGTTCAAATGCAGAAGACATCTAACAACATCGGGGTTAATCACTTCAGGTCAACGGGTCACACAGAAGCATCTGGACGCCTTCGTTCCAACGACCGTTCAGAAAATACGCCGCTTGAAGGTAAACGACGAAAGCCTCCCCCATGAAGTTTGTTGAATTCCAAGTTCTGGTTTTAACATTATCGTGTAGGGAATTCCCCCGTCGGATGTCGAGAAAGCGTATCATCGCGATTTGGATAAAGTCTGTCATGATCCGTCGAGAATTCTTCGGTGAGAAACTTCTCGTTGACGCCGATTTCTAATGGAGGCGCTCTCATCACCAGGTTATACTACAAGTATTCAAAATCGACGGCGACTAGCGGTCTCCCCCTTCCTGCTTCGCTCCTTCACTGCATTAGCGCATTGCTACGGTCCAAATTCCTTCTGGTATGGATGTCCCTCCTTAGACGTTTCGAATTTGTGGATATTCACAGGGCAACAGAAGACAAACAACGCTTGCACCGCCTCGTAACATTCCGTGAATTAATGTATGACATAACATTTCTGAAGAGAAGGCTCAGAGTGAGGCTTGTAATGCATTGTATTTGAGAAACGCACTGCATTGTGTTTGAAAAACGCACTTGAACTCATCAGCCATTCTTGTGGTTTCCTCTTTTCACAGTCATCACACGTTCCAAGACTTCTTTACGGATTATTTGCACTTGAATACCGTTGTTGGCAATTGCTCCCCACCTTGTTGGACTTGTTGGAGGCGAATTTATCAGTGAGCACGATGACATTAGTGGCAACAGGGAGTGATTGCGCTCTGCTTTATCAGAACTATAGAGCACCGACCCTAGCCACTATGGGTTTGTGTCTCAGCTACCTCGGCGTCGGGGACAAGCAGCAAAACAGGTTCGGACCTCGAGCAGATTTGAGTCGCGATTACTCCGGCTTGATTGAAAAAATCGCTGTGGAAGTGTGCAGGTGAGAGAAGATCTCCCAAATGTGTCGGGAATAGTGTTTTCAGCACCAAATGCGTCACTCAAAAAATCAGGAAGCTTTATAACATCAATGAAAGAAGAGATTCATCCAATCAGATGGGGCCTTTCGAATCTGCAGGTCTTGCATTTGGGCTGGTAATGTCGGATCTTTATGATGTCCAATTCAAGGACGAAAAAGGTAACGACAACAGCTGGGACTTCAGTTAGTGTTCTCCCCCGTTTCTTGAATGTAGGTTCTTACCACTATGTTCTTCCCCAATTGATTCGTGAAGCGTGCGCAGACCTGACTCCTACGAATCTCAGTCATAGTGGGTGGGCACAGTTTTATCTCTACCAAATCCTGTACTGCTGTGACGTTGAGAAACCAGAATGTGAAGAGGAAATCAAAAAGGTACCGAGTTTATCTTGTA